GGTTTAAAGGCTCAAAATTTTACAAGTTCCAAAATTATGAGTTCGGAGGTTTATGTGTTTGGAAGTTTACGGGTTTAGAAATTATAAAGTTTACGGGTTCGAAATTCCGCAGTTTTGAAAGTTTAGCGGTTCGAAAGTTTATGAAATTTGTGGGTCCGGAAGGTTGTTAGTTTGAAAGTTTATGGCTTCATGTTTATTATATTTAAATTATTTATGAATACTCTTGAGAAGTCATTTCCTTAATTTGCGTACCAAACACCGGAAAATGAATAAGATTACTACTTGTTTTCCAAGAAAATATTTTCTTGGAAAACATTTCCACGGAAAATATTTTCCGTTATACCAAAAACACCCTTAGTGTCTCATGATTTGTACTTCCATTCCTTGAGTTATTGTATGGAAGCTCATCTACTTTATTTATTGATTATCCATGATCTTCATTTGAGTTGTGTTGATTGTTGCTTGGCTTACATAGCGGGTTATGCTCTGATTATCTACATTATTTATTGATTCATATCACGTGATATTTCATATTTCATGGATCTTGAAGCAATTCTCTGGCAATCCTCCCATTAGCGCCGTGGGGATAGAATCCACCAGGCATATGCTCACTACCCGTGCTGTGTACAATCCTGAGAATCTCTTGCGGAGTTCTTGGGTAAGAGAGGGAATAATAGTCAGCAGATAAGACGTTACTTTCTGTTCGATTTTCAGCTCCAAGTTCTAAAGGGACATAAATGCCTTCATCTTTGATTCCGCACATTCCCAATTGGTTTCTTAAATTTGAAATGCGATCTGTAAAGTAGGCCACAGTGTATTCATAAGGCAATACTACTTCGTCAGCTCTCTCATAAAGGTACATACGAATCACTGCATCTTGCCCTGCTTCAACTCCCAATAGTCCTGCCACAAGCTGTAAAGAAACATGCATGGATTAAGATTTTTGATAATCTACTTTCGCCAAATATAAGAATTTAGAGAACGTGATCAAAGAAACCTTAAATTGCCTACCTGATGCAATGGCCGTTTAGAAAAATAGACTAACGAGGTCAGCATATATCTAACGTGTTCCATTATGCTTTGTTTTTACCTGAGTAGGTGCTCCTGTAATTCTATCTACTAAGTTTTTTAATATATATGTACTATATTGGAAGTGGAAAACACAAAACTAAAAAGTTAAATTACAAAAATATCTTTCTAAATAATTTAAATATTTTACTTATATCAATTTTTTTGTAAAAAAAAAACTTACTCTATAAAACCCACAAAATAATGCTTCATACCCCTTCATTAATAGTCGCAACAATTCCATTTACAAAACCGAATGGAAAAAATCACCACTTCCCAGAGCTAAAGAAACAAATCGTCACTTTCCAAAACTAGAAAATGAAAAATTCTCTTATTAATTTATAGGATTATTTTGGTGTTGTTTGTGGTTGATAAAGATGCAGAGGTATAATTTTTTTTCATGCCAATAACTTTGTATTATTTTTTATTGTTCACTACTTTTGATGTGTAATAAATTAAAAAAAACTTTTGTTACTTGGTACACTCTAAAGCACGCGCTGTTCAAATTTTTTTCCTTGCATACGTTGGTTCTTAGCACTGAATTGCTTAACTTCTCAAATTCAAACTATAGACGCTCCTCTTTAATTAAGTTCCGTTGGAGATTAGGGTGAATACCATGGTCATAAAATGGGTTCAGCTATTGAGGTTCTTAGCACTGAACTTATGGTACTTTTAAAATTATGGTGATCTACTACTTATAGGAAACTTTAATGTATATATACATAAACATAAAAATAAATCCGCATAAAAAATATTGGGTTCGATGAACCCATCATATTGTAGAAGAGCTCCATCGGCCACCGGCGGTAGGTACTCATGCATAAAAAATTATAGAGAAGGTGTATTCTTTTTCTCTTTACTCGAATATAGAGTGGAGGTAGGTATTATGAAGATTCTTAATTAGAACTTACATGTTTCGCGGCATAGCCTTTGAGCTGTGGATTCATGCCAACATAGCCATTCATTCCAACATATGGAATAACATAGCAAGATAGCATGTAGCTCAAGCTGTCCCTGTAGGGATCAAATGGGGGCTCCAGTTTGTATCCAACTGCTTCATCAAATAATTTTGCAAAGTTTTCACGGCTAAGATCCATCAAAGGTCTTGGAATACCGCCCACTGTTTTGTCAATTGCCCTAAAAACCCACAAATAAAAATATAAGTTAGTTAATCGCATATATCCGCACTTTGAAAAAGAAAAAAAAAATGAATAAAATACCTTAGATGACCAATTTCTTGGTAGGCAAATTCCTCGATAATCCTGTATGTGAGATCATCAAGATTTGCTCTTTGGGCACCAATAGGAGGAGGTCCTCCCTTGGTTAAATATGGTGCCATTACATCAAGACCATATCCCTTGGAAGCCCACGAAAAATATTCTGCTTCCAAGAACTCCAAGTTCTGTGCAAAATGCACGTTGTCTCTGTCTTCTTTGTACACTGGGATCTCATACTTAGGATAAATTGGTTGACAAACTGGATTGGAATGACAGACAAAAACAAGCTCACTAAAAACCATGGAAATGACAAAGGCTGAAACGATATCCATTCTTCGTATGTGTTGATACTCGGTTTTGATTCCATAGACTATTTATAACTGCCTTTTGCCAACAGAAAAAACGTCGCTCAGTCCCTATTGTTTTGAGGCTGAAGGTTGGCTGATAAAAGGTATCCTAGCTCCAGATTTGGAAGTTTTTCTTCTATTTGGTATGTTATTCATTTTTGAGAAACTGGCACTACTTGGGTTATCAAAACTAACTAAATTTGGATCATCATTGAACGGAAAGGGTAAACATTCTCACCATATACATGTTGCTGAACATCTAAGCTATGCATCGGTTTTTCATCTTTGTTAAACTTTCGCCAAAAATTGACCCATGTCTAACATCAAATTGCTACTAATGTTTTGTAATGTATTGACATGTGCTATGTTAGACAAATTGGAAGTAATCACCTTTTCAGGGACGGGGTTTTTACACCAGAAATTTGAGTCAATTACTCAAATGGTTACTCAACTATCCCAAATTATCACCTAAAGTCACTTTTTTTTCGTTTGTAACAACAAAGTCACTGAACTATGTCTATTGCACTCAGAAGGTCACTCAACTAGATTTTTCAAATTTTGGATTGCTAAATACCTATTTTACCCTCTAAATTATAAACATGTATCTTCTTTTTATTTTTTTAAAACTTTTTAATATAATGATTTTTCCCTTTTTAATTTACATTATGGACTTACCTATAGAATAGATAAATATTATTTATAAATTAAAAAAAAGTATTTAAACATATATAATGTTGGAATAGCAAAATAATGAGCATAGTAAAAAAATTAATTAGAATAATTTGTTAGTAATAATAATTTTAGTATTAACAAAAAAAATTCAAAAATTTACTTACACTACTCAGAATGAAAGAAAATGAGGTAGGGGTAAGGTCTGCGTACACACTACCCTCCCCAGGCCCCATTTATGGGATCAAACTGGGTTTGTTGTTGTTATTGTTGTTGTTGTTGTAGAATGAAAGAAAATAAAGGTAGTAAAATATATATATATATATATATATATATATATTCTATGCACGTAATATAAAAATAATTATTTAAATAAAGGTATTTTTATAAAATACATTATATATTCTTGAAAATTATGCTCGATTATATTATATATATTCCATGCACGACTTAACATAGCATATTTTACCCTATACAGATAGTCCCTCTGCTTTTCGATGACATAACTTTGTGTCATTGGAAAGTTGGTAAAAACATAATAATATAATTGAGCATAATTTATAAGAATATATAATGTATATTATAAAAATACATTTATTTAAATGATTATTTTTATATTACGTGCATGTGATATATATTTTACAACCTTTATTTTATTTCATTCTCAATTGTGTAAATAAANTTTTAAAAAAATAAAATGAAGATAAATGTTTATAATTTAGAGGGTAAAATAGGTATTTGGAAATTCGAAATTTAAAAAATCTAGTTGAGTGACCTTCTGAGTGCAAGAGTCATAGTTCAGTGACTTTGTTGTTACAAACGAAAGAAAAGTGACTTTAGAAGATAATTTGAGATAGTTGAGTAATCATTTGAGTAATTGACTCCCACAAATTTCATTAAGCTTCTAATATCTTAATTAAGGTAAAAAAGATGTAAAACAAATTGCCTTTAGTTAGGTATGTTTACCCTAAAATTTGAGTAACAATTAAACTTGTATTGTGGTTTTAAGGATGTGTGATTTAATTCAATGCCAATTTATAAACAAGGAATTAAATAGATAAATTAAAGAATAAAATAGATCAAACCAGTGTGTAAGCTAAATATCGACATCGATCTGTGATAACCTCGAGGTATGATAAAGGGAATAACCAGTGCCGGCTCAAGCCTAAAGCAAGTCAAGCACTTGCTTTAGGTCCCAATACTTTAAGGCCTCAAAATTAGTACTACTATATCAAAAAATAAATTTTGTATAACTAAATTTTTGTCATTTGTAGATGTAGTAATTCAGTCATGTATATCTAATAATTAAAACTATTCCAGTTTATTTATTTTTCTTCACATAAATCACATGTTTTGAGGCTCTCGTGTTTTAATTGGGAGGCAGTGAGCCTACAAGTGACCAAAAATTATTTTTTTTCTTTCTTCAATCTTCAGCTAAATCAGTTCTTGTTCTTTATAAAATCAAATTCTCTTTTTTCTCTCCTCATACTAGCTCATCTATCTATTCTGCCAAATAACAAGGGTATTGAATAATTTGAGTAGCATAATCTTTTTTTTTTCTTCCTCATGTTTTTCTCAAACTCTCAGTTCTGATAAAAATATATAAAAAAAATTACTGAATATCTCTTATTAAGGCATTGCTTTAGGCCACCGTATTGATTGATGTCACCTCTAGGAATAACAAAGAACAAAGCAATTCTGATGAACAGTAAAGTTAAATAGCAAGAAAGTAATGAGCATGTATATTTTTCTCAGTGAACAATGAATCTAACAAATGAGTGGGATCCCCCTTTATATAGTAGAGGAGTCCTAAATAAGGTACACTTCTAATTATAGTAGGAAATCCTATTTGACAACTGTTTAACCGCCGAAGACCAATCCTTTCCGGAATTCACGCTGTGATCTGCGGTCCATTGCGGATATGTCTCCCTTTTCGTTACTGAATCATACCGGTATCATCTCGAAGCACGCCTTCTTTTGACCTCGGTAAGTGTTATCGACCTCGACCTTGGAAAGGAACTTCGACCCCGAGCTTGACGTCCTGATCCGACATGATATCACTTTTTCCATCGAGGGACGAAATCGGGTAGCCCCGATTTCCACCGTATACAGATAGTCTCCTCGTTTTTCAGAATAAAATGATAAGAAACGACTTGAGCCTCTATTTTTTGGAGGCCCCGATAATGACATCATCCCCCTGACGTAAGCGCTCGAGGTGATTGAAACGTCCCGTCGGTTCGGTTCCCCAAAATATTAAATGCTTGCCAGTGACGGTCGGCCACTAGCGCCATCGAACCGTCGCCGTGAAGCTATAAATATAGGTTTCCCATTTGAATCAAAACTTTACTTCATCTTTACCAATTTCTCTAAGTCTCTTCCTCTCTCCATCTCTTCTCTTCCACCACCCGTTGAAACGATCTTCTAGGACCAAAAATAACAAACTCCACCTCTTTCCGCTTCATCTCATCTGAATAAATGGCGAAAATCTCCAAAATCGTCCCTCAAAATGAGAAAGCCTCTTCTTCTTCTTCTCGGTCGGCCGGTGACAAAAATGCCAGTGGAACCGCTCCTTCACGAGATTGTTCCCGGCCCTTGTGTCCTAGAAAATGACTTCAAAGTCGAGAACCCTCAGTCGGTCCCTGGCCGATGTGAACACGTATCGAGGTATACTTGCTCGATAACAGCGAAACAGCTCGAAGTCGTGAAGGAAGACTGCAATTGGGGGCCCGAGGTCGTGGTACAGATCCCTGCCCCCGAAGAAAGTATCACCACTCATGTAGAGGAAAGTGTTTACACTTACCCCTTCACATTGGGCCCTCTTGACCCAGTTATCGTCGATTTTTGCAAGATGTACCAGGTTACCCTCGTCAAGCTGCATCCCTCGTTCTGGCGCATAGTGATTATGCTCCGCTTCTTCTCTGGTAAGGCCAAGGGGTTGGAATTCACTCTCAGCCACCTTATATGGCTGTATCGACCAAAACTTTATCGAGGATTAATCAAGCTTCAACTCCGATCGTAGAAGTCCTTTTTTGCAAGTATCGATGAGGACAAGGACCGAGGTTGGATGAGCCGGTTCGTGCGGGTAAGGACCTGTGACCTCATCCCCGAGGAGAAAATGTCGTTCCCCGAGAAGTGGAACCCCGATCGTAAGTATCAGCCATTAATCTTCGTATTTTATTTTTTGCTTTGTGTAACACTTTCATCTGTTATGCAGCGGTTGCCTGGATGCCTCACACGGTCCCCGACCTTGAAGATCGGGTTCAGAAGCTGGCTGCAACTTCTTCTCATGCCGAGAGCTGCTGGCGTGACTTAGCAAGGGGCAGATGGGAGGCTAAAAATCATGGTATTATCTTGTATGCTTACGACGTCCTTTTCTGAAACATTTCCTTTCTCACATACTTGACTCCCTTTTACGGAGGCCTCAGGGATGTTGCTGAATTGAGGTCGGCCCCGTTGGGAAGAGGTGGTTCCCAAACTAGCCAAGGAAAAGAAAAGGAGAAAGTCCTCGCCTTCTGATACCCCAGATCTTAAGAAGAGTAGGGCTCGTAACCGAAGGACGACTCTACTGCTCTGTATGCCGACGTAGCCCAAAAGCTACGAGATGAGGAGGAGGAGGGGGAGGATGCCGGTTGTGAGCTGGTGCCTCAAAGAGGGGAAGCGTCGAAGCTTCTAAGGCAGCTGGGCCGGTGCCGGTCGAGGAAACTCACCCTCGAACTGAGGAGATCCCGAAAGCTACTCCGAGCAAAGTCCCCGAGCCATCGGGGGTAAAAGATACTTCCTGCCGTGATCAATAAACGGCGAATGTGCCCGAACGATCCGGTAGTAGGGCTCTTCAGAGGGGAGAGAGCGCCTCAAGTGACTCGCCTGGGGCAATTAATATTGACGATTCATCGCCCGGCCCTGAATTCTCTGAAGGGCAATTTTGGGAGGCTCGATCCTTGGAGACCCCTGATGTGGGAACGTCCCACGATGGGAAGACATATTTCGTGGCTGCCTTGCAAGGGTCGATGATGTTTCTGACCTAGATGCGATGATGGTTTTGGACGAGGCCCATCATATCCTGAACCAAGTAAGCTTCATTCCCCGTATTACGTTTGCTTTTATCTCCTTCTTGCTTATATCTTTCCTTTCTCCATAGGTTGTGGTGCTCCATCGAGAAACGTAATACAAGTCCCAAGCCGATCTGAGCCGGTGCGAGGCCGATCTCAAAATGCTTACTGAGGAGAGAGACGCCCTCAAACGCGTCTATGTGCAGAAAGAAAAGGAGCTCAAAGACCTCCGAGCTGAATTAGCCCAGGCTCATAAGGAAGAGCCGAGCTAGACGAGCAGGTAACTAA